CTCATTGTCAAAACTCAGAAGGGCAGATGACTTGAGAAATAGCTGCAATGGGCGCCATTTCCCTCGCACGAGATTCATAATTGTAATAAGTGCCGAGCCGACTGGATCCTCTTCATTCCTTCACACTCAGGAAAACATTACTGTTCTTGTGAAAATCACACGCAGCACGGGAGTAGATGCCAGGTGGAGTGTGAATGCAAGATGCGATAAATAGTAACAGGAATGATAAGATGAACAGAGTAGCATAAAAATCTCTTCCTATGATTTTTTATTTTTTACAGCATACAATCACGTAAAAAAAAAGCAAGGCTATTAATGGGTTTAATAAGGTATAAAATAATTTCTTCTCATCATTTACTTTTTTTAAAAGACCGTCTTCTGTGGAAAACAAAATAAATGTAATGAAAGTGTTTCAAAACAAGCATTTTTTTGGAAATAAACCACACAAATCACTTCATATGACTTAGGATATACTGCACAAGTTACTTTGATGTGTTTATGGTGTTTTTGGACTGTTTTCAGAGATTGACAAACCCTGGTCACCTCTATTTTCAGTATAGGGAAGAGAACAGCTTAGACGTTCTGCTAAGTTTCTCCTTTTGCCTGATCTGGACGTGTTCCATTCAGGAGCTCTGACTTGGAAGTCGACTACATACAATCCCCCACATTTCAGCATGTCGCATTATATGATCGCTCCAGTTGTCTGTCTAAAATTAAATAATTTTATACTGAAATATCTCTTGTGAAAAAGAACTTCAAATCTTTAAAACTGTACTTACAGATAATATAATTCTAATGTAATTACAATTAATAAAAGTTATAATAATGTTAAATTAAAAAGTACAGTACATTTTAAATAATTTTTTTAAATAATTGATTATAATTTTAACAGTAGTGTGTTAATTAGTATTACACTAAAGTACTAAATTGCAGCTTCATCATTCCAGACATGTAACAATATATTTAAAAATACATGAAACACAATGTTCAGTAGAAATGACATGAAAGTATATTTTAGTTTACCATAATTTTTGTCTGTACATTCAGTAGCATATTTCAATATAAATAAACCATGTAACATAAATATGAATTTACATATATGAGCTGTACTCTACTGGGTCAAAAATGCACTCTATGCAGTGTAACGTCATGTCAGCGTATGTTTTTCCTTACTTCAACTCATCAAATTAATTTAACCAATTTCAACTTCATTTTTTTAAGTTCAACTAAATGTTAAAGTCAAGTATACATTTTTAAGTAAATATAATTTAAGTTGGAATAACTTGCCCAGTCAGTTTGGTTGAACTTAATGTTTTAAGCTGAAGTAGGTGGAATTGTTTTATAGTATTAAGTTCAGCTAACTGCATTCAATATAAATTTAAACTACTATAAACTGTCATTTAATTGCACTTAACATGCAAATAAGTGCCCAAAAACATTACAGTGTATTATTTCTGTAGCACTCTTTAAAATGCTAAAGTTTTCTTGTTTTTCTCAAGGAATCTTATATGTGACCCTGGACCACAAAACCAGTCATAAGGGTAAATTTTTTAGAGATTTATAGATTTATACTGAATAGACCATTGATGTATTGATGTATGGTTTGTTAGCATAGGACAATATTTGGCCGAGATGCAACTATTTGAAAATCTGGAATCTGAGGGTGCAAAAAAAATCTAAATATTGAGAAAACCGCCTTTAAAGTTGTCCAAATTAAGTTCTTAGCAATGCATATTACTAATCGAAAAATACGTTTTAATATATTTACAGTAGGAAATTTACAAAAGATCTTCATGGAACATGATCTTTACTTAATATCCTAATGATTTTTGGCATAAAATAAAAATCGATAATTTTGACCCACACAATGTATTTTTGGCTGTTGCTACAAATAAACCCCAGCGAATTAAGACTGCTTTTGTGCTCCAGGGTCACATATGTAAATTGATTGCCATGATTTATTACTAAATATAAATTTCCCGATTGTTGAACTCACACCCATTTACTGTGAACTTTAATTTCTGGGTGAACTGTCCCTTTAAATAACTTTTTACATAATTGCATCAAATGCAGCTCATGATGCCTTAAGACAGCTACTAGAAGAAATAGAAGCTAAGACTAGTATGTACAGACTGCAACACCGTATGTTTGTTTGTAGGCAGGCTATGTAGCAACGCAGATTGTTACATCATTATTCAACTCAAGTCAGTGGAAACATAGGCCAGAGTAAAGAACAGAGAGAGAGAGAGAGGTACACGTCAAACGAAGAAAGAGCAAGTCCCCTCCTCTCGCTTTGCCCTCATGCCCCCTTTAACAAGCGAGGCACTGGAAGGCGGCCCGTGTGACTTCAGGGGCCGAGTGACGTAAACCAGGGAAGCAGCTGAGCACTCAAAGCTCACCCTGAATATCAGAGCTGAGGTCGAATGCATCACTCTGGGGTAAAGGGCCAGAGCTGAAAGGATGGTTCATGCCAGAGGGAAGTGCTAACTAAGACTTAGTGCTTTATTGAACTGCTAAGTGGAGTAGCTTCACAATGTGCCAGTGTCACACAAGACGCTTGAGATACTAAACCGCGTTTGAGTACCGCTTTATTTTCTCCTTTTATTATTCACGATGGAGTGTTTGCTTCCGACGGGAACGAGGCCAGAAACTAAATAGAATGTCAAAGCATGAAACGCATTACAGTTGAATGCCCATTCACAGAGTTTAGATGAATTATCCATTAAAGTTACATGCAGAAAAAAGATAAGCTCAGACTAAGAAAAACATGGCAGGTTTGATGAAAACGGTTCCTCTTGGGGTTCTGTATTTCTTTGTTGTTTGTTCTTGCGGTTATTACAGTAATTCTTTAAAAGCAACAAATGGATGGAATTACAGACACTTTAATAAACAACCTTAACGTTTCACAAGGAGCAACAATCGTTCATGAAACCTACAGCCTTTTGTGCATTGTCAGTCATAAACATATGCAAAACTGAACATAAGAATTGTTTATCCATATTGTCACCACTGTGCCCTTGAGTAAAGCACTTAACCTCCGGCTGCTCCAGGGGATATTCAGGGAAGTTGCTTTGCATAAAAACATCTGCTTCAACTGAGATTTTT